AGATGGGGTGCTGAGTGTACATTAATGAGAAATAAAATGAACTTTTTTGATTTTAGCAAATGGCTGCAATGAAACAGAGTGAAAAATTTAAAGGGGTCTGAATACTTTCCGTACCCACTGTACACCCATAAAACCACACCGTGTCGTTTTTACAGTTCAGTCTGTGTAGATAAAGGAGATATAACGTGTTTATTTGTGAGGTTAGGCACTGGCAGGTGGATAATGTTAGCTTTGGTCGGGGCCCAGCTAGCCGTTTGTAACGCTACCCGTGCTAAGCTAGGCTAACCAGCTGTTGGCTGCTGTAACCTCATATTTTGGGTACAGACATGAGAGTAGCATATCTTTTCTAAAAATATTTAAAAAGTGTTTAAGCTACTTTATAAATCAAAATTGTGTCACTTTTGAAATGGAAAATAAAACAAATTTTGACACATTTCAATATACTCCAGCATTGTGTTGATGCAGACTTGACCATTAGCTTGTGGAGGCTGATGTTAGCAGATATTAGCTAAATTCAGGTCGATGATACAGTTTTACTGACACGAGTCGGTTCTCTGACTTAATGACTCTTTTTTTTCCAACATTTTGTTTTAGCATTTAGCTCAAAGTCACATCCTGTAATTGTTACATTTGGCCACAGTGGCTGCTCTTCAGTAGAAATGACATTAGCTGAACTCCCTTAAAGATGATTTAGTTGCTCTTCCACAGCCAACTAGTAGCAAGAGAGGTGAAGAACAGCTGATGGTTTATTTCAATATCTGACTCACCTTCCTGTTCAGTCTAAATAAACAGAGAGCATTGATACATTTTCCAGTGGAAAACAGTGACATGAACTTATTCTTACAGCTCACCAGCTGACCCGGTGAGCTGTTTTGTGCCAAATTGACTCATGAAAAAAAAAAAGAACTCTTTTGCTAAATGAAACTCTCTGTTTGCTGATATTTGGAGGAGACCTGTAAAAGTTGGACTCCCATCAGGGAAAGTAGGCGGCAAAGGCCGGGATGCAACAGCAGAGTGATTCCTCAGCACTGCAGCCCAATCATATGATGCTGCTGATGTAAGGGACAGGGACCGGATGAAGCCAGTTTAAATGCCCACGGCCTACATGGACTAAACCGGGCGCTCACACTCAAAGTTACGTTAGCTTTATAAAAAATTTAAAAAACGAAATAATTTCCTCCAGGAATTCACGGCATGGCAGCGTGGAGATGGATTTACACCTCTCTCTCCAAAATGCTCCTGAACGCATCACAGAATGTAATCAAGCATCCACTCGCGCGCTCTAACGCTAAGCCCTTTCACTTAATATATACATGTATATTAATTATATATTTCTCATTCATGGCAGCACATGCTCATCTCTGCATACCGCCCGGCATCCCGACAACGCCGAAAACCCCGGTTAATCCTTCCGGCAGCGGCGGCTCGTCTTTCAGCGACATCAGCGATAAACAGACATTAAATGATACTTTACCTTTTGAGGTGGGATGAAGGTGCGCGTGTGTGTGTCCTGTGCAGGCTGCCGGCTCGGTGTGACCTTGGATCAGAGAGATGTCTGTTATGGAAGGCTCTTGTGTTTGAATTTCCTGAGTGAGCCGCTGTGTGACGTGACGCTCCCGCGGGCTGTGGAGGGCGGCGCTGCCTGCCTCCTGCGTCTATTTTAGTCCAGAGCGGCTCCGAAGGATTCACTCAGTCATTCAGTACTCGTTACTCGTTACATGCGCGGTTCCTCAGCCCTCCTCCTATGCAGGCCCACTGCACCGTTTCTCTCTGCTCTGGCGTGTCCCAGGCAGGCGGTGAAAACACTGGCACTTATCTGATAGATAGATCTGTCACCTGGACATGAAGTAACACAGTGATTATTTTCATTCTTAGTTTGGCCACATAAAATGTCCAAAAATATATTACCAGAACTCAAACATATTCGCATTGTTATCATAAATGCTATGAATTAAGTGTTGACTTAAGTCAGTGTCAGTTGATGTGAATGTCCTGAAAACAAGTCCAATGTCCAGTTGAATTTCAGGCACTGAAAGCAGCTGAAATGTTGCTCAGAAAGGCAGCAGATAGATTTTCTGTACATTGACTTCCACTCTTTCATTATCAGATGTTCTTTGCGTGCGTAAAGCTGCTGGCATCCCCGGTGGAAAAACTCAATCTGGGTCATTTGAGCTCAATCCCGTTGGATTAATGTGAAGGGGGTCACAGTGATATGGTGAGAGTGACTTGCCGAATGTGAAGAAGACATTTAAGAACAACTGCACACAGAAAACAACGGGTGTCATATGAAGTCACCAATATGGAAAATAAAAAATCCGATAAACTGAAATAAGAAGGCAAGAGCTGTTACTTGGCTTGTTATGAAGGTGCAGAGAGATACAGAAGCAATCCAACAAATGAACTCTTCCTCTGTGGTGTCTCCTGCCACTCAAAAAACAAATGCTGAATTTAAACAACAATTAAAACACAATTTCATTCTGTTCGACTGCATGTATCTCTCTTTTACCCATAATGCCTTGTGAGCTGCATCCTTTTTCACTTGGACAGATGAACCAAACTTAAAGAGGACACTGTCGTTTTTTTTTTTTTAGCTCAGACGATGCTGGCCGTTAGCTTGCCCCAGAGGTTGATCATTACATTTTCATTCTTAAAACGCATCAGCAAAGTTGTTGAAAATAACTTTAGTGAGATGCTCTCTCCCTCTTCTTCCATCCTGTCAGGAATATTTGCCCTTACGTTCAGATGCAGCCTGACGTGTGTACACGCAGTACTGTATGCACAGGGAATCATGGCATGTGGCCAAATGACACAATGGATTACCTGCACCAGGAAATATGTCCTGCTCCAATGAAAGGTGTTACGTGTCACGTTACGTGTCAAGAAATGTCATACTTGTGCACATTATGACCAGGGATAGGCTCTAAAAGCGATTTTTAGAAATGCTTTTTTATATTTCATCTTGACTAAGAGCACCATGGTCATTAGTAATTCAACATCTTGCCAAACATGCTTAGACTGCCAAGGCTGTCAGTTGCTGCAGCAGCATTTTGCCTGTAATCATGCTCAATCCTGAAGTTTTCCTTCCTGATGGGGTTTTTACTAAATATCGCATCAACAAACAAGACTTCAGGTGTTCACCTCTGAATATGGAGCGACCAAACCTGCAGTGAATTTCTTTCTATATTTTCTATGTCTCAGTGTTTTTTTCTTAACTTTCCCCCCCCCCCCCATGTAAACACAATGATTAGTCTCACATGGTGCACTACTCTGTCCTAAAACAGCTCTTTACACAACAATAACACATTTTTAGGATAGCTTTAACCCTGGTAATGTCATCATCACTGTATGTTTTTACTCTCAAATATTTAATGTTTAACTTTCCTTGGTAGCCGGCCTGTATAGACTCCCGGAACAGACAGAATGTAGTAAAAGGTTATCAGACAAGTCAAAAATATATCATTGAATACGTCAATAAATAATGATTAAAATGGAAGATAAAACTGTTCCTAGGTTGTTTGACATTATTGGGAAAAGAGAGAACAAATGGCACACATCTACAATGTGTCACGGGGAACACAAGCCCGGTGTCTGTGCACTTTGTGAGACTTTGTTAGCGTTAGCTTCCTGGCTAAAAATGTGTTCGCTGAATTTACTGCTACGACAGTAGCAGCACAGTATTTGGATGATTAACATTAGGCCACATGCACTAGCCGGTGTAGCTTAATGAAGTTAGCTTCAGCTAGGTAGCTAGCTGAAAATGCTATCGTGGTGGGTGTGTTTAGCCACCATTGTTTGATTGTATAACTTAAAATATTAATGCATTCAGTTGCATTTTTGGCTTGTGTGATAGGCCACCACATTTAGTCTATGCCTCTTGACCGTACATTTTGTAAAACCAGATGAATCACTATCAGATTAAACATCTGTTTAATATTGACTTCTTTCAATACATATGTACAATCTCTGCAGTACCAAACAAAGCCATGAGGGCTACACAGCACTTTCATCTCAGCAAAAAGCATGCACTGCTGCTGGTGAGAATTCACATGATCCCTCACAGTTTGAAAGTGTCAACGAAAAGCTCCCAGGTCGTGGATAAAAACACAAACAGTGCAGCTCAGATTATGGAAGCAGGGCGCTCCCAAAGTCCCACCAGAAACTCCAGACAAGCCAGCACCGTTGAGCTAGAGGTGCGGCTCGCAAGAGAAATATGTTTTTAGTCTCACAACAGAGTATAGATGAGACTCGAAGGGATTTAGGGTGAACATGATCCGTGAGATAAATGTACAAAAAATAATCTGAATCCAAACACCGCTGTTGTTTTATGAACATTTGTGTTAACATTGAAACTGCTTCACAATTTCACAATGTCTCCTCTGATTTTGATGGGACATCTATTGTGTTAATACTTATTTTTATATTTCTCTAAGTTTTAAATATCCAAACAATTCGACAGCAGCTTGCTGACATGAGGCTATAACCCAACAACCATCAGTGTTTGCTTGTCTGATCGTCACCTCAGCCTCCTCAGTTTGTATTGTTCATACAACTAAGAATAATATTCATGTGTTTGACTTAAATAAATACGAATTGTAAAGACAAGTTACTGTCAACTAAACTGCAAACACAGTTGTCACACAGGTGTCGTGATTTACAGTAACGAGCTAGTGTGCTCGTTAAATGTCAGAGGCAAAGTGGGCGCAAGCCTCAGCACATTCCAATGGACATGAAACAGTCTTCCGATATATTGTTCATACATGTGAAGTTGTCAATCTTCACTACACCTCAAAGTCCAGTGAAAATCAAGTTCGTCTTGCGATTTTGCAGCGCGAAAAATGAGACAAGGACAACACATCGATAGGGATCCACTGGTGGACATGATATGTCCCACCAGCAGGGGGCGGTGTGGGGAATACATTCTAAGGGTCACAAATGAGGTTGTCCTTCAATTAATTCCTTTCAGAGGGAAGAAGACTTTTTCACTTTGGCCCAGTCCCAATCTCCACCCTCACGGACTCACAGAGTTTGAGGCGCGCTCCCCCAAAGTCCGTGAGGGTTTAGTTCTGTCCCACTGTCAAATCGTTGAGTGTTTGATTCTCTCGCAGACATTTTGAGCCCTTTATGAACACTTTCCATAAATCAGCATTAGTTGCAGACTTTGCCCAATGAAATTACCCACAAATCATTGCAATGGGATGTTAAACACGGGCTAACCAGTGGAAGCATGGAGACGTAAAAAACAAAAAAAAAAGAGCACATGTTTGTTCAGAATGTCATATTTAATTTACACAGAAACTAAGAAATTAAGGATTAAAGATGGAACAAAAAGAACACATAAAATCAGAGGATATTTATTTATTCATCAAATATTTAATTTTGTCATTGAAGCTGTTTCGACAAAAACAACTAAATATATTATTGGAAATTACCTCTGAACTTGTGAGGAAAGAGCCTGGAATATGTTGAAATCAGGGAGTAAAAAGTATAAAATAAATACCCACAACTGTAGATCATAATTATTGACATTGATATGTTGCAGCAAAGTGCCCATTGGTATTTAAACCATTTCAAGCTCTTACAGTCTCTCACACTCAACCATTTACCAGGTCATGTCAGTAAATCCTTGAGGGTTCAGGGTTTAAGGCCTTAGGGGGAGATATTGGGATTGGACCTTATTCTCACCAAAGAACACCTTTCCCAAAATATCTGCTGGTTTCATCAGGTGAAATGTGCAAAAGAGACTCAAAGCAACTGAAACAAATCATTTAATGCAAGGTGACAGTGTAACAGTGGAGACTGGACAGGGAACGTTACACTACTAAATATAAATGTTCAGCAGCCAGCACCGCTTTGTTTGAGTCCAATGAAACACCACAGCCGCCTTCCATTAATATTCATGCAGGACATTTACTGTAAGTGCACCCTGCGGAACCCTAGGCAGATCTATTTTTACACATTCTTGTTGTGTGGATGAGCTTGTTCAAAGATATGTGAAACTAAACTATAACAATGAGATTTTTATAAACATTTGATACATTTTGAATTATAGTGTAGTTGTCCTTGTATTTATGAAGTTATAGAGCTACAACACTTGCATTAGAGGAAACAGGTGCACTTCTCCTGCAGTGAATTTCAGTTGGACACCTTCATTTTTATCGATGTTAATCTTTATGATTTCTGGTTACAGCTTATTGATTAGCAAAAGCTGCTGATGCGCTTTGATGTGAAGCCTTCAGCAAGGACAAATCGTGAAATCAACAATTGCACCTGCACACCAGCGAAATTATCCAAGAAAAAAGATTAAAAAAGAAAGAAAAACTGAAAAGAACAATGAAAACAAAGGTGAGGAAAAGGGGGGTAAAAAATGTCAATATTATTTATATTTATCTCCTTTTCATTTCTATAAGAACGTGGGACGATTGGGAATATTATTTATTTTTATTCTGTTCAGAAACATCTGTAGAGTGTAAGTCTAAGTCATCATGAAAACCACTGACTCCTGTCAAAGACCCACACTGAACCCTTTTTCATGGACACTTCCTCTCTCCATGATGACAGCAATGCAGGTAAATCACATGAGGAGATTTAGATAAAGCAAAGAGGGGTCCTGGAGCTCTGAGTGAATGCAGACAGGGAAACAAATTCCTCTCCA